GAGCTTGGAACCTTCTTCTGATACACTGGTTATTGACAAAAACCCTTCAGGTGTCCGCTGAGGCGTGTTTCTCCTGTTATCCTTCTGGAATTGCTTCTCTGCTTCCCCAAGCACCCAGATGGAGAAAGCCCTGTGTGATTACAGCCCATGTGGCTTTGGTGCAATTATAGGAATGGCATCTCACAGGAATGGCATCTCACATAGGGAGAGCTTGTGGCTGGCATGCTAAGAGTTCTGCCTGCCACAGCAGAACTTTCACGCTTTGGTTTGTTTTATATGAAATTTAGAAATTCTCTTTGTGCTAGAGAAGTATACATAATATCATCATGGCTTATCCCTCACTTGCTGTGTGTTCTTATCAGTGGTCTTAAATATTGAAAGACAGAGCTACAGAAAGGAAAAGAGACCCTCCATCCACTCGGTCACTCCCCAAATGGCTGCAGTGGTCAGGGCTGTGTCAGGTGAAGCCAGAGCCAAGAGCTTCTTTCTTGTCTTCCATGTGGGTACAGGGGTTCAGGCACTTGGCTGTCATCTGCTAATTTCCCAGGCATGTTAGCAGAAAGTTGGATCGGAAGTGGACCAGTGAGGACTCCACCAGTGCTCATAAGAGCTACCATAGGTAGCTCATAGGTACTGTGGTTTCACCTGCTGCAGAACAGTGCTAGCACCTTTTCCCAGTGTTGAAGCACCTTGGGGGGTGTGTGTGTGTGTGTGTGTGTGTGTGTAAGAGAGAGAGAGAGAGAGAGAGAGAGAGAGAGAGAGAGAGAGAGAGAGAGAGAGAACTTTTTATTTGAAAAGCAGAGTTACAGAGAGGAGAAATGAGAAAGGTCTCATTCCCCAGATGGCTGCATTGGCCAGAAGCCAGGCACCAGCAGCTTCCTCCAGGTCTCACATGTGGTTACAGGGACCCAAGGCTTTGATCTAGTCTCTGCTGCTCAAACAGGGAGCCGCATCTCCTGGTGGAACTCAAACTGGAACCAGCACCCGTATGCAGTGCCAGTGCGCAGACCGAGGCTTAGCCTGCCCATGGCACTGGCCCCGACAGCACCTTTTCAGATGGGCATTTTGGAAGAAAGCATGTACTGATCGGTTGTCTCCGTAAGTAGAAATGCCCAGGAAGATAGTCTTCAGGTTAACAGTTTTCATGAAGGAAGGAAGGAAGGAGGAAGAGAGAATTTTATAGCTTTAGTGGACATGGGGAAAAACAAACTTTTCCCCTACTGAGTGTGCAGTTTGCTTGTCCTGCTCTCTGTTTGAGAGACACAGAAGCATGTTGGAGGAAGTCAGAATGCCCATCGAGTTTCCATGATAACTTAGAGCAGATGCCATATGTACTTGCTGGAGCTTTTTTGCTTCTTCCTATCTTTTCTCATAGATGAAAATGTGTGTGCAAAATATTTGACACAGGTAAGCCTATAAACTAGTTTTAGTTTTACAGTATAATATTGGAAGGAAAACATTTTGTGGTCTTAAAAATTACTTTTACTATAGGGTTGTTTAGAGTAATGGCAAATTTGTGCGTCATGTACAGGTGTTATGGCACATCTGGTTAAGTCACAGCCTGTGGCACAGACATTCCATTTGGGCACACATTTGAGTCCTGGTCCTCCTGCTTCTGGTCCTGCTCCCTGCTAACGCACCTTGGAAAGTAGCAGCAGATGACCCTGGATGGAGTTGCAAGCTCCTGGCTTTGGACTAGACCGCCCCTGCCTATTGCAGCCATCTGGGGAGTTAGCCAGCAGACAGAAAATCTCGCTCGCTCTTTTTTCCTTGTCTGTAACTTTTTCAAACTAATCTTTTTAGAAAAGAAAATAAATGTTATTCTTTGTGGAAAAATGTAAGTAACAAGTTGGAATTTTGCCTTCCAATTTTTTTTTGTTCTTGTTCCTGAGATGGTTGGTATATTTCTTAAAGAAGAACATGTACTTTATAAAAACTTTGGAGTAGTAGGCCCTTTTTAAAATATATATTTTGTTTGAGAGGCAGACAGATAAATGGAGAGGGCTAGGTTAGAGCAGAGCTAGCTGAAGTTCCATTGGAGGCTATATTAATCTGTCTTACTTTTAACTAAAATACTTGAAGCTCTTTGGCAAATAAAAGGTATATTTGAGCTCATGGTTTGTAGGTTACAGTTCAGGATCAGGTGACCCCATGGTGTTTGTGCAGGCTTATCAGAGAAAAAAATCACACGATTAAGCAGGAAACAGGAGAATTTCTAGATTGAACTTTAAAAAAAAAAAAAAAAGCTACCCTCCACTGAGAACCGTACTCTTAGAATGTGGCTGCAGGCCCCTAACACATCCCACCTCTCGAATGGGGCAATTAGGTCAGCTTGTTAAGTAACTCTGGACAGTTTCTGTAGTGGACCCTGAATTGCCTCTTTCCGAAAACCTGTGACTGTACTTCATGAGTGTGTGGTTGGTGAGAAAAGGTGACATACTTTAACTGTCCTACTCAGAGACTTTCATTAAATCATCTGGGTAGCTCAACAGAAAGTTAAAGGATTCAAGCTGGAGAAAGAGAGCGTACAAGTTATTAGCAGGCTGGGGCCTTTGGAGAAAGAGCCATCAGTTGTCACTGGAATCTGTGTTTGCAGTCAAGCTGTGTGTAGTCTGTACCAGCAGAGCAGTACTTGTGATTTTGCCCACATACACGCTTCAGACTCACATGAAATTCTTGTCTTTGGCTTGGCCCAGACTTGGTTTCAGACATTGGGATTCGAGGCCAGTGTGCTTACAAGACATCCTGTGGCACCTGGATCAACTCATAGCCACCTGTCCATGGTGCCAGGCACAAGCATGGGCTGCAGTGGTGGAACCGGACCGCCCTGTCTGGTGTCTGTTCATTGAGTGCTTTCTACAGTGACTGCAGGGTGTTCTGGATTCAGAGAATGTGCCATTATTATTATCATCATCATCATCATCATCATCATCATCATCATCATCATCATCATCAATGTAAAATATGTACCTTAGGTAAAAGCAGGTAGCTTTCAGTGTCAGAGTAAATAAGTTTACTTTGATGTAAAAATGGTTTTGAAAGGCTTTCAAAAAAAAGTTTGAGAAAAGCATTTTATGAAAAGCCCTCTGGATTTCAGATTTTTGTGCCAAAATAAACAGTTTTTATTTCCATTTAAAAAAATCAATTTTGTGAAACATGCTTGTATTTCCGATTGAGTAAATTTGTTGTGATCTATCGCCATCTCTGAAGAACAAGCCTTTGTCATGTACAGCCTTCTGTTCCCCCGGAGAAAAGGGGTGACTGTTGTAACACGGTCTGCCCTCTGCAAAGCTCGCCTTTGCCTGGGTCCATTCTACTCTCAGTAAATGCACATCTGTTAGAGTGCCCGAGAGAGCGGGCTGCGTGTCTGCTGAGGCCCCTTGGAGACTCCCAGGGGTGTTGTGACAGCGATGTGCGTCTTCGTGATTTTTGCCCGCCCTTGCTTCGTCAAGGATGAGTAGGCAACTCAAAACACTGTTGCGTGTGTTGCACTACACTCCTGGTGTAGAGTCTTGGTAATTTCCAGTGAATAACAATCAACACAGATTTTCAGTGTGTAAGCACACTTGCCTTTAATGTTGGTGTGATCCCTCCCCCTTCTCATGGTGTTTGATGTATCTAGCTTCTTGCATCTCTTCCCTTCTTTTCTTGCATTGATGATGAGAGTCTGACTTTTTGTTGGCTGACTGCTCATAGGAGCCAGTTAGTTTGTGCTAGAGGCAGTGCCCTGCAGGCTGTTGGGGATGCTCATCTTTGCAATAGAGTTAGAGGTCCATTTTAGCCAGGGGCAGGGGTCAGGAGCAACTGGAGGCAGCTGCAGATGAGACCGGACCCCCGAGCCAGCTGACCTCCTCAAGGCTTGAGGCCCAGGAGAGTGAGCCTGCACAAGGCGAGAAAGGGTCTAAAATGATCTTCCATCACACTGGGTAGCAGTGGCTCAAATGGAAATTCAGGCACTTTTAGAGAATGCATACTAGGCTGGCAAAACAAACAAACAAAAAACCTACCAAAAAAAAAAAACACCCCTCAATACCCAACAAACCGAAAGTCCACATCAGTTTGCTCCCAAGATTCCCGTTGCTCCCCAGCAGATGGACCCAACTACCCCCCTGCTGCTCACTGCAGCCTCTGGGCACACCGCCGTCCAGCCCAGCTGCCTCACCCTGCCACAGGCACCTGCTGCCTGCTTTGTGACCTACACGGCACTGCTCAGTTGGTAGAGGGCAGTGAGAATGTGAGAGTGGCTTCTGGCTTCCCCGCTGTAGTGAGTGAGGGGCTTGGTTTATTAGGCTCCCATTCTGAACATGTCACCTCTCCATAAGTGAAGGAAGTGTTTGAGTCATTTCGAGTATCTTAATGGCTCACATCTAGAGGCTTTATTAATTGAGTGACTTTTTTTTTAAGAATAGGCTGTGCATCATTTGACCCTTTTGGACAATTAGGAACAATTGTTGTGAATCTTGTAACAGTGCACTTTTGCTTGAACTGACAGTGGTTCCTTAGTGTCTAAGTCTGGACGGTGTTTTTGATAAGTAACTAGGAATTCTTTGCTGAAATAACTATACTTAACTACTGTATGTATTGATCTTTTGTGAGTTGTCCTGGAAGCCTAACCTTATTCTGTTTCAATAGGGAAAGAATTCTGATTTTCAAATAACAGAAAAACAACCTCTTAGCCATTTGAAGGTTGCTGGCACTGGTTATTGTTTGGTTTAAAAAGCAACAAGGCTGTGTGTCACGGGCTAGTGTATTATTTTATCTTACTGAAATTTGCTGATTTTGACACTTTGAGTGGAAAGATGTCTACAAAGATGCTGAGTTAACTGGTCTTCAATTGCACACTTGAGTTTTGTAGCATTGCTTAAATTCATCATTGAAATTCATGTAAAATGATTGCAGTGACATTGATTGACATTTCTGATTTCTGATTTCGGAATGACAAGTTCTCTGTTTTTTTAAATGTGTGCTTACTGTAAGATTTGCTTCTCTCTGTGTTTCAGGCCGGAGCCTCAGCCCAAAGCTCCTTTAGTTCCTCCGCCGCCGCCTCCTCCGCCGCCGCCTCCACCTCTGCCAGACCCCACGCCCCCAGAGCCGGAGGAGGAGATCCTGGGATCAGATGATGAGGAGCAAGAGGACCCCGCAGACTACTGCAAAGGTGACTCTCTCTCTCGCCTCCTCCCTTCCCTTCCCTTCCTGACACCCAGGACCTCTTTGGGGAAATAGATAAGGCACCTGAGTGGTGCTAACCAACCTCGCGTTTTATTAAGTTAGCATTCCTGTGTCAATACCGTTCCATTAGCATGTTTTCAGAAACTCTAGGTTGCCTGGGAGAAAGTTGTAAGATACAAAAAAAAAAATTCATATGAGGGTATTTTAAAAAGTTAAACAGTCAAAACTATTTTAGTGCAAAAATGTTTTGAACCCTTACATACAAGGAGCCTTGGAAAAGGTTCTGAAAAAACATGTATTCTGAAAAAGTTATACATGAACTTCTCATACATAATCTAGGTACCCCAATAATTTGAAAAGGATTTAATTTGATGCAATTAACAATCAAGGACAAAATTAGCTATTCGTAGAGCCTGGGGAGCAGAAGGTGACTGCTGTGCGCTGGGTCTGACACTCAGTTTTCTGACATTCAGTTTTTCTTGGGCTAAAAGAAACTGTCCCTTTCTCGGCATAGCGTTCGTTGTCTTTAGAAAGAAAACAGGCACGTTCGCGTACACAGAATTTTTCTTGGCGTTGTACTTAAGGAGAAAGACACTCTGTGAGGTCCGTTACTGTGCGGCAGAGTGAGTGGTGTTTTCAGCCGTGACTTCACGGAGGACACAGAAACCATTCAAGTGGAATGCTCTTGTACCGATGCTTTGTAGACACCAAGAGTATATAAACTGTCCGAGAGTAGATGAACGTTGGGATTGGCGCAGTCTAGACCTCATCCTTCGTATAGACTGGACTCAGGGAAGTTGCTGTCTCCATTCTGGTGGCACTTTCGTTGAGTGATTTACTTATCTGGAGGGTTTTTTTTTTTAAAGCAATTGGGGAAGTAGCTTAATTATTATAGATTATAATGTATACAACTAGGGTGGCAGGGGGCTAGCATAGTGGGTAAAGCTATTGCCAGCACCACCGGCATCCCATATGGATGCCGGTTCAAGTGTAGCTGCCCCACTTTCATCCATCTCCCTGGTAATGGCATAGGAAAAATAGTAGAATATGACCCACGGGTCTGGGTCCCGGGCATTCTCCCATGGGAGACCCAGAGGAAGCTCCTGGTTCTTGGCTTGAGCTTGGTGCAACCCTTTGACTGTTGGGGCCATCTGTGGAGTGAACTCTGTCTTGGTGACTCTGACTTTCAAAGTAAATCTTGAAAGAAGAAAAAAAGATGGTAGTTCTTTGGGTCAAGGGTATTTTAGCAGCTTATCACATATTGAGTACTTAAAAGTAACTTGTGTTTTGCTTAGGAATGAAATGTTTTCGGTTTTCTGCCAGGGAAGGAAAGTTGTTGTGCTGTGAATGTGTCAGCAGCTCATCTCCTACGCCAACCTGGTTCTGACATGGCTGTGAGCGTGTCAGTCCTGGAATGGACGTTCTCTGCAAAGAACACTGGCTCCTTCTAGTGCAGAGTGGTAGTTGTCAAGAGTTAGGAATCCTGTACGTCTATGGCTGTTGGCCTGTTAGCGCCTTTGCTACTAATGATAGTAGTTGTTCATGTTGCTTCCTGAGCTTTGAACAGACGGTGTAATTCCTATTCTCCCTCTCATCCCTGGCTCTCAGTTAGATATTTATATATCAGAATTCGCAAGGTTATTCTGAAACATCTGATCCTGCCTGCCTGCCTGCCTTCCTCTTTGTATGTGTGTCTGTCTGTCTGTCTGTCTGTCTGACACAGGGAAAGGTATCCATATTCCCTTTGCTGGTTTACTCCCCAAATGACCACATCACTGGAGTCTAGGCCAGGGTGAAGCTGGGAACAAAGGGCTCCATCCCGGTCTGTCACATGGATGAAGAATACTCAGGTATCTGGGCTGTCTTCCACTTACATACATACATACATACATACATACATACATACATACATACATACATACACACACACACACACACACACACACACAGTATCACAGGTTGCAGTTGTAATGAGCTTACTGTGGACAGGACCTGTTCGTGAACTCTTCCCTCCCTGGGCCGGTGTCACTTTGCTACTAACACTGGTTTCCTTGATGGCTGTAGCTTTGCACGGTGAAGTCTTGAAGTGACAGTGAAGTCTTGAAGTGAGGTTCAGTCCTTTGCTCTCTTCCAGGATTGTTTTGACTGGTCTGATACTATTTGCATTAATGTATACATTTGGAGGATGGAGGAACGGCTCTCATCTCCTGGTGTGCTGCAGCCGAAACTGAGAGCTGGGGACTCGCTCTGGGTTTCCTGCTGCCTCTCAGGGTACATACCAGCAGGGTTTTCCATTTAGGATATGGGCATCTGAACCACTAGCCAAACACCGCCTGGCCTTCTCAGTTAATGGCCCCACCTGGTTATTCCTCTTCAGGTCTCATGCTGAAGCATAACCCCCTCTGAGTTTTAGAGGAGACGAATCATCTTCAAAACTTAGCAGTGCAGATGAGTCATAATGGCAGTCCTGCTCCCACCTGTCGGTCCCTGCATAAGCTGTCCTTGGGGTCTGGCAGTCTCCTAGCATCACTGCGTGCCTTCCCTCATGCTCTTCCCTTCTCAGCTCACTCCTGCCCGTGCTGCCCATGTCCACCAAGAGAATGCCACTGTGTCTGCCATGGTGGCTGCCCACGCTGTACTCAGAATTGCGACATGGTTAGGTGGCATGACAGTAATGGGAAAGAGTGGCCTGAGTGCTGCCAGAGTCATTTCCCGAAACCCAGCCACTGCACACCCCTGCGTGTCTGCCCTCTGCACTCCATTGCAGAGAGCTCTTCCCTCTGCGGCTTCCTCCCGGGTCTGGACACGGACTTTGGTGTCCGCAGGCTGACTGGTGCTCCCTTCTGCTCCCTTCGCCCTGTACCACCTTGTAGGCGTGCTGAGCGGGCAGTTCCATCCTTCCTGAAGCCCTGGCTCCTTGGGGCCGTCCTCCAGTTCTCTCGGATGGCCCAGCATGGTTGGTTAACATCTGGGTGTAAGGTAGGATTTGAAAGGCACTTGTGAACAGAACCTGTTAATGGAGCGACTTTGGATGTGGTGTTTACATCTTTTTCACTTGGGGATAATGTACAGATGGGCTGCACCTACCCAGATTCTTCATCCAGATTTCTGTCCTTATTAGCACTGATTGGCTGAACTGGAAAGAAGTTTGGGGACCGCCTTTCTTTGTATTGTGTCCTGTTTCAACTTGGAATTGAAAAGAGTTATGTAAAGTTAAGGAAATTGCATATTTTGCAGGAATTTGTGTGTTTTACGTAGGAAACAGTAATTGGAAACTTATTCCCCCTCACAGTTTAAAAAATTGAAATGATTCATATTTGTACCTTTCTCCTTTTTCAAGTTAGTGTGTCTTTTCCCCCCCAGCTTGTAAAACTGCCATCTCTACCTAATTATAAATTTCCTCCATCCCTGCCAAAGAAATAAGGGTCCACTCTCAGTCCATCCTCTGCCTCATCCTAGCTGAGGCCACTGTTGGCCTCTTTCCTCCAGAGGCTGGGCTGACGGTGCCATGCAGTCGATAGCCTGCTGTGTTTGGTGTATCTGAGTTAGCCCAGGCGTTCAGGTTCCGTAAGTACACATCAGTGCTACCCCACTGCTCCGGTAGGAGGTTGCACACAGGTGGATTCTTGTTGCTGTATTCACCAGTTCCTGGCTACAGGGTCCTCTGCTTTGAGCTGCTATGAACAGGCTACTCTGAGGATTCTTGTGCGAGTTAAAGCGAACGTTTGTTTGCACTTTTCTCGGTATGTGTCTATAAGAGGAATGGCTGTCATTGAATTTTTTTGATGATCTTCCGCAGTTTCTCAAGGGAGACGCGTGGCTGGGTATTCCCACCAGCAATCATGCCGTGATTACACTTAATCCTTGTGTCTTCTTTTACATCTCTGTGGCTTTTCCCCCCGTGACTTATTGCTTATCCACTTGGTGTTTATTTGCTGCTCTCCCTGATCTTCCTGGGCTGTGCATGCTCCTGCTCGCTGTGCCACTCTTGTTCACTACGGCCCATTCCGAAGCTAGCACAGTAGTCATTTGGAGGGGGAGAGCACTGGCGTGGCAGTGTTCTCTCCAAGACCATGTGACTGAAGCTCCAGAGCAGTTTCCAGAAGGAAAGCTTTGTTAACAGCAGTCTTGGCCTTAGCCCGGCTTGAGGGCAGTGAGGGTTGTGAGGGCCAGTGAAGTGCTTGGGGAGGGCCTCTAACCGCTCCCTGATAGGTCTTAAATGAACGGGGAGGATTTCGGAGGAGAGCGTAGCAGATTCCTTGGTGAAGTCCAGCAGTGAAATGGGTATAGCTTGCAGGGTAGGGATAGTGTCAGATATGAGCAGAAGGAAGGTGTGTTAGGCAGAAGAGAATAAACCTGAGATTTCAGAAAATTCAGCAGTCGGGGCAGTTGAGCAATTTTTGGAGACAGTGGCGGCATCTCGGGGGTTGACAGTACATCTTACACAACACTGGAGGGATTTTACGTAGCCGTTGTGGCGAGCGCAGTGAGGACTGTCTGGCAACTATTGCAGAAGAAATAACCCACAAACCGTGTGGACTCAAATCACCTTTGTTTTTCTGGTGACAACAATGCATTAGGAATTTGGAAGAGGGCAAAGCTGGCAGGGGATGTCTCTGCTTCCCGCTATCTGAACAGCCTCACCTTAAATATTTGAAAGGCTTGGTGTGACTCACGGCTGGGGACTGGAGTTAGCAGCAAGCTCACACGTCTAGGAGGTTAAAGACCAGGGCTGCCAACGGAGCACCTGTGTGTGTGTGTGCTCATGTGCTGTGTCTTCCTTGAGTATGCAGACCCCTCAGCTCTCAGATTTCATACCTGGTAGGTCAGTTGAAGAGAGCATATGTATACTTCACGAAATTCCCAACATTAATGTGTACTGTTTAAAGTACCATGGAACCTCAGAACATCAGAAACTCACTGAGACTCATAAGGACGGGAATTACAGTGCACGTCTTGATGGGCTTAGGGTTTTAGAGGCTGTCT